CGAGGGCGATTTCCTCGGAAATTTAATTGCTTGTCAATATTATCTGTTTAGGTGAGATCTGGGCCTTAATAATGATGAAAATTATAACAGTTGGGTTAATTCAACAGTCACAATAATAGTAACAATAGTTGAGCTGCAGTCAAGTGACAAAACTACCCTATATTGATGATTGGATTGCGAAAGTCAAAATGCTCTTTGAAGGGATGAGCATTTGCATTCGGATTACGAAATTCGATTGACTCAACGCCACGCGAGTCGATTCGCGTTCTGTGCACGAGCACTTGCTCAAATCTATCATCTGAGAATCACGAACTGCTTCGCCACTAAACGGTTAATTTCATGCGGATATCCGTTTTGGGTTTGGATGACATTGAGAGTTGAGTTGATAGCCACCGAAAGCATTCATTCATTCACTGTCAACCAGCTTGAACAGCGAAGATCAAATTTCTGCCCTTTTCTCGGCTACCCACCGAAGCCGAAAGAGACTGCTCGATTGATGGTCACTCGAGAAATCGAACGAAATCCGATGCCCATCCTAGAGGAATCTTTCGAATAACAATTAAAACGTTGGCAACGAATGACTGATTTCTTGAGAGAAATCGGAAATCGCTTGTGTATGTAGATAACTGATGTGAGAAAATTGCAGTCATCTTGAAGTGTATTGCAAGAGTATTTCATAGGGTAGTTCTCACATGAAAGTCGCTCAGTCAGTTTTTTTTAAATCATTTTAATGAGTTCGAATTTCTTGTTATATCTCCTCGTATTGTCTAACAATAATATTTGAATCTTGCTAATTCCTAGTAGCAGTCATCTCGCTATATATTACTGTTGATTTTGTTGAACCGGTGATCTTTTCTAGTGATCTCTTCTACGAGCAAAAAAGTTTATTCGGTATTCAGCGCAACCTAGATGTCAGTATAACGGCCGTATGTCGTTTGCTGTCCACAAGTCGAACGTCACAAAACGTTGTGAGTTTTGAAATGAGACACTTTTCGAGATTTATCTATATTTCCATGGTGACTATCATCATTAATGAAAAGCACAGCATCAAATGTCCATCAAATGCATTTTAAAACATAAAACACTCGTATAGTTCATTCCCAATT